ATATTCTCCTTCTATTCTCCTATCTAATTCTCCTTAGTCACTGTCCAACTCTCTGATACATAACAAGTGACAGCAAAGACCATGGCCTGTATCAGACACACCTTAGTCTCCAGAGAGACACCATTGATCTTCAGTACTTTGGAGAAGTCCCTAACAGCAGACTTTCCCATCGTAATGTAATATGTCTTTTAATTTCCTGGCTGCTGGTGCCAAGACTATGGAGACAAGCAATCTAAAGCCGTGAACAATCTCAGTCTCTTCACCATCCATCCTGATGCTACCAATTGGTCCAGTGGTGAGAATCTTTGTCTTCTTGACTTTGAGCCTCAATCCATATTGAAGGTTGCAGTCCTTGACCCTCTGCAGCAAGCGCTTCAGGTCCTCCTCAGTTTCAGCATGCAGGGTTGTGTCATCTGCATAACTCAGATAGTTGATAGATATTCTACCAATCCTGACCCCACATTTCTCCTCATAGAGCCCAGCTTCCCAGATAATCTCTTCTGCATACAGATTGAAAACGTATGGAGACCGAATACATCCCTGACGGACCCCCTTCTTGATTTTGAACCATCTAGTGTCTCCTTGCTCTGTTCTGACAACTGCCTCTTGGTCCAAGTATAGGTTTCACATTAGCACGATCAAGTAGAATAACAGAAAGGGGGGAAAATAATAAAAAAAAAAAAACAGGGCAACTGCGGTCTAGCTTTCACATACATAAATACAAAGGAAGAGGAACAGTTGTAAACAGACACTAGTGATTGGGACATGGAATGTGAGAACCATGAATGTAGGAAGATTAGATATTGTTAAGGAAGAAATGGAACACATAGATTTTGACATACTGGGCATTGGCAAGATGAGATGGACTAGCATGGGGCATTTTGAGTCCGATGATCATATGATATATTACTCTGGAGATGAAAAGGTGAGGAAAAATGGAGTTGCTTTCATAGTTAAGAAAGTAATTTCTAGATCCATCTTGAAGTACAATATTGTGAGTGAAAGGATAATAGACATACGCATACAAGGAAGTCCTGTAAATACCACTGTCATTCAGATATATGCACCAACAACCAGAGTCAAGGAAGAAGAAATAGAAGATTTCTACCAAATTTTATAGTCAGAGATCGATCGAACATGCAATCAAGATGCATTGATAATAATGGGTGACTGGAATTCAAAAGTTGGGAACAGACAAGATTCAGTAGTTGGAAAACATGGACTCGGTGACAAAAATGGAGCTGGAGAGAGAATGATTGAATTTTGCACAATCAATGACTTGTTCATGGCAAATACTTTTTGGGGGAGTTTTGTTTTGTTATTTTTTTGCAACTACAGTTTTTAAGAGACATAAACGCAGATTATATACATGGATTTCACCTGATGGTATGCATAGGAATCAGATCTATTACATCTGTGGAAAGAACCGCTGGAGAAGCTCAATATCAGCTGTGAAAACTATGCCAGGAGCTGACAGCTCTCCCCGGGAGCTGAGCCACTCTCTCTGGGGGCCAGGCAGCACTCCCCAGCAACTGGGCGGCACACCCAGGGGGCCAGGCAGCACCCCCTAGGGATTGGGTGGCAATCTTCGGGGGGCCAGGTGGCACTCTCCACCAACAAAGCCCCCCTCCCCGTGAGGTCTGGAACCTGTGCCCCACTGGAAACCAAGGCCAGGGACAACATCCCTGGATCCAGCATCCTCTCCCCTCCAGCAACTAGTCCAAATGCAAATCAAACTAGGCATAGTAGACTACCCTCCCCCTCTACAAATGGAGAAGGGGCTTTCAGAGTGGTGAACAGACTCAGCCTAGGTAGAAACAGTTCTTGGAAGTAGCTGTCAAGAGATAAAAAGATGTGGTGCTTTGAAGAGTTCTGCTGTCCAGGATCAATCCAAGGAAATCTCCTTCACTGACAGTGAGATGCTCTTCCAGTTTTGGTCCTTCACCTCCCATGGCTCCATGGTGCCGGCGCTGCTCTGTCGCTTCCCATGCCAAGGGCCGCGGCCACTGGCAACTACTGCCACCAGCAATGTGAGAACTCTGTCAGATTAGTCGCAAGGCCCAGCGTCTGCTATCTGGTCCAGTTGAGGGGACACCTGGGCTCTGGCCTGAGCAGTCCCAACGGGCTGCAATGGCACAGGTTCAGTGGCAGTATCCAGCAGCTGTGGGACTCATGCATGTTTTTGGAGAATGTTTGTCCTCTTGATGTTGAGCCTCAATCCATATTGAAGACCAGTAGTCAACCTTTTAACTGTTCCAGTATATATAAAATGCAGGCTGCGGAAGGCCATGGTGGCCCATTTCAATGTGGCCTGGTGCACCTCCAGATCCTTATGCTGCTTCCCCTGTTGCTGCCATCTTGGAAAAATGAGATCTTCTAAGAGTCAAATACCTATGCTCATCCAAAAACTTTTCCAACAGAGTAAAAATGAAAGCTACAGGCTGGAAAAAAATATTGGTAATTACATGTCTGATAAGGGACTTATATCTAGAATTTATAGACTACTCGAGCACTTAAAAAAGATAAAGGTAAACAACCCAATCACAAAATGGGAACAGGATATGAACAGACACTTCACCAAAGAAGACATTCAGATGGCCAACAAATACATGAAGAAATGTTCAAAATCCCTAGCTATAAGAAAGATGCAAATCAAAACAACTATGAGATATCACCTCACCACAGAAACAATAGCAAAATTTAACAGAGCAGCAAACAACAAATGCTGGTGAGGCTATAGAGAAATTGGAATCCTTTTTCACTGTTGGTGGAAGTATAAAATGGTGCAACCACTCTGGAAGGCAGTAAGGCACTTTTTCAAAAAGTTGGAAATAGAAATATCATTTGACCCAGCAATTGCAGTACTGGGAATATACCTTAAATAAACCAGAACTCCCACCCAAACAAATATATGCACACTCATATTTCTTGCCACACTGTTCACAATAGCAAGGAGATGGAAGCAACCCAAGTGCCCATCAACAAACAAATGGACAGAGAAGCTGTGGTATATTCACACAATGGAATACTACACAATACTGAAAAACAATGAACATAAAATATTATACAAAATGGGTTACCATGGAAGACATTATGCTGAGTGAATTATCTCTGTCACAAAAGGGAAAATATTGTATAATGCCACTGCTTTAAAACAGGACTGACATGGAGGTTGGGGGCAAACTAAGAAACGAGGCTATAAATAATGAACACTGAATTGAAATAGGTGAGAGAATCCGAGTTCCCGGATGAGGGAACATTCTGCAGTATAAAGGGAGCGGGGAAGGTGGGAGACAGCGCAGTTTGAATCGCGGTGCGACGGAGTAGCTTGTGGGAGATTGTTGGGTATTTGACTAGCCCTTTCTCTGCCTGCTTGTGTGAGCTTCAGCAGAATTTGAAATGGCTGGCGGTAAGGCTGGGAAAGACTCCGGAAAGGCCAAGACAAAGGCGGTTTCCCGCTCGCAGAGAGCTGGCTTGCAGTTCCCAGTGGGCCATATTCATCGACACCCGAAATCTAGGATGACTAGCCATGGGCGTGTGGGCGCGACCGACTGCCGCTGAGTACAGCGCAGCCATCCTGGAGTACCTCACCGCAGAGGTACTTGAATTGGCAGGAAATGCATCAAAAGACTTAAAGGTGAAACGTATAACACCTCGTCACTTGCAACTTGCTATTCGAGGAGATAAAGAATTGAACTCTCTTATCAAGGCGACAATTGCTGGCGGTGGTGTCATTCCGCATATCCACAAATCTCTGATTGGGAAGAAAGGACAACAGAAGACTGTCTAAAGGATGCCTGGATTCCTTACTATCTCAGGACTCTAAAATACTCTAACAGCTGTCCAATGTTGGTGATTCCAGTGGACTGTATCTCTGTGAAAAACACAATTTTGCCTTTTTGTAATTCTATTTGAGCAAGTTGGGAGTTCAATTAGCTTTCCAACCAACCAAATTTCTGCATTCGAGTCTTAACCATATTTAAGTGTTACTGTGGCTTCAAAGAAGCTATTGATTCTGAATTAGTGGGTTTTGATTGAGTTAACTGTTTTTAAAAAACTGTTTGGATTTTAATTGTGATGCAGAAGTTATAGTAACAAACATTTGGTTTTGTACAGACATTATTTCCACTCTGGTGGATAAGCTCAATAAAGGTCATATCCCAAATTAAAAAAAAAAAAGAAATAGGTGAGAGAAA